GTTGGTACAAAGGAAAAACCTAAGGGGTTGTACCCCACAGTGAGTACCCCACTAAGCCTACCCAAACTATAAAATATATATATATATGTTTGACAGTCCGAGAAGCGGAGAAAGCCCGTATACATGAGCAGTGGGATGAGGCCTTTCTGGAATACGGAGGGAGTGTCGGATGCGATGAACTCGTGTGTCATCTGGTGAACCTGGTGAAGAGACACGGGTTCTTTAGTCCTGTTTGGGCGCGGGGAGTGGCGCTTGGCGAATTCTCGGACTTGGGAAGTGAAGGGGCCGTTCGTGGGACAAGTAAGGCCAGTCATCTTCTGTGCAAATGCGACTGCTGAACAGGTCAGCGTGATGGCGGACAAGGTGGCGTGCTTGTTGAGGGCGTATACCAGGTACAGCGCGAGTGTCAAGTCTGTGGCGGGTAGGTAGCTCAGTGATAGCTTGTTACAGAATGATCGGAATTTTCTCCAGTAGGGGTCGTAGGTGCGGATTGTTGAAGGCGCTCGTACTTGGCTGATTACCGAGAGGAGTTGGTTTTGAAGGTTGGATAATATCTCGTGCCATACATGAAATATATATGAGTTACATTGTAAAGTCAATGGACAATGCTATAATCGGACTATTGGGAAATCCAGTCCCTAAGAATGCGGCAGTGTGTGTGCCCGGTTGGAGGCACTGACTCCCGCTTGCGAGACGAAGGTGGCTAGTAATTCCTATGGCCCATGTTTGAGGAGCCGGTTGCACTAGGGGCCACCAGGCTGCCCCTGACCACTCAGGGATCACCAGGGTTAGCTTTGCCCGTGTGCGACGCGCGTGATGGAGCGTTGCAGGGACGAGGTGAGGGGGCGGAAATGCGAAGCCCCGTTCCCCGTGCCAATCCTGGGAGAATGCGTTGATGGCCTCGGCTCGCGGGTGAGGGACTTTAGAGAAGAAACGAGGCAGCAATGCGTTCTGTGCATTTGCGAACAAGTCGACAGAGTGAGGCCCCCACCGACGGTCCAAGAGACGGAACCAAGGTTGTTTCAACGTGTAGTCGTCGTGGTCTTGCAGCTTTGAGAGCTCGTCCGCGCAAGTGTTTTGATCTCTGGGAATCCATTCGATGGCTAGTCGCACCTCGTTGTCCGTGCATAGAGTGATGATCTCTTTGCAAGTGAGCGTGAGCTCGTTATTGCGCGAGCCGCCTTTTCGTAGGATGAACATGTGTCAAACATATATGACATAGTCTGTGTAGGCTGTAGTGGGGTAGACTATATGGGGTACAGCACTGCTAGGTTTTCTCACTTGTACCCATCTCCTTGCTAGTTCAGCCATTCCTTGTTCTATCCTTTTCACAACATGACCCCTTGGTTGTCCACGCGAACCAACGTGTGGCCGTGTCGAAGACGGTCCATGAAGGTGCGTAGCGCCCAGAGCACGCCTTCCAACTCGCGTCGCGTACTGGAGGTTGTCCACAGATTGTCGGGCATGCCAGCGCTTGCGTTGCTCGGTGTTTCGTGAAAGGTAGAGAGGGTGGCACCCCAGCTGTGCGCGCTGGCGTCCACCTGGATGATGGCGTCGTAGTGATGCGGATGGTGGAATGGTGCACCGTTGAAACGGTCGTACTGTTCCATCCAGAAGCGCAGCTCATGGATGGCCTCTGTTGGCAACGACACCTTCGAGTGCCATGAGGGCGCGTTGTTGATAAGTTGCAATAGCTCGTGGCTGAAGGCTCGTGCGGTTGCGCCCAAAGCGAGGCTCATGGAAGCAAGCATTCCAGTCAGTCGAGCGATTTGACGAACGTTCACTTGGTGACCAGCGCATCCGGAATCGATGAGACTTGTAATTGTAGCTCGTAACAGGGAGCGTCGTTCTTCTCCGACCGAGAATTTGCCGACTTGTGTGTTCAACTCGAGTCCAAGGAAGCGAAGCTCCTGTGTGGGGACCAGACGCGACTTTTTCTCGTTGATTACAATGCCGGCGTCCCTCAGGTCCCTTACGATTTGTGCGCATGCGGCCCCCGCTTGTTGTGCGGTCTCTGCCAGGATCAGTATATCATCCACATACGGGATAACCCGCCACCCGAGAGATCTCCATCGTCGGGCCAACTGTTTGATGAGCTGCGTGAAGATGAAAGGGGCCGTGGCCAGACCGAATGGCAGGGATTGGAAGAAGTAGTAGTTGCCTTCGAACTGGAATCCTAAGTACTTCCAGCAGGTGGGATGGATGTCCACGTGATGATACCCTGACTTGAGATCAACCGATAGCATCCAGTCGTTCGGCTGGATCAACCCCGCTACCCGCGCGAGGCCTTCGTACTTGAATTTAGGAATGCACAAGTGCTTGTTGACCTTCCGCAGGTCGAGGATGAGCCGACATTTTCTCGCTGTTCGACCACATTGAGTGGGCTAATGCATATTAGTGTTGATCGGTCAGGAGCTTTTGCCGCTGATCCTGTTCGCAGGAGGTCCTGAATGGCATCGCGTGCGAAATCCGAATGCGTCTGGGCGCCTGCGTGGTTTTTCCTTTCCAAAGGTGCCGGGGGTCCATTCTTCCATGGGAACCAATATCCGTGTGAGATAACGGACAGGATGAGGCTACTATCGCACCAGGAGCGCCACCAGTGTAGTGCTTGGTGGAGCCGTCCGCGCATTATAAACACCGTCTTGTCAGAAACCGAACAATGAGGAATCAGCTGGCTGCCAGAGCCTTTATACTAAGGAACTAAGGCTGAGAGGCTGAGGGAAGAGGCCTAGATGCCTCTCTCTCTCTCTCTCTCTCTCTCTCTCTCTCTCTCTCTCTCTCTCTCTCTCTCTCTCTTTGTTTTTAAGACGTGTGTGTGAACAACAACACAATGCATGATCCTCCTGGACCTTGATGGGTCTCTTGATGCGTGATGAGGCTCACGCGTCACTTGATTTCGTATTAAGGTGTATGAACCTTTCGGCTCGATTTTTCTCATCCCCCTTTTTTTTTTTTTTTTTTTGTTCTTCTTCTTCTTCTTTGCACTGGTTGTTGCTGGTTGCCCATATCATAGTGCAGACCATCCTTGAGCCCAAGGTACCAAATTGAAGTAAAAATGACAAGCACTTCCATAGGCAACTTATCATCACATAATAACCATTTCTTGCAAAAATACACAAAAGCACCAATAGCTAATGGCCCCTAGGGCTCCTCCTTGGGCCCCCTGGCCCTTAGTTCCTTAGGCTGCTCCTCAGCCTTGCACCCCCTGGTGCAGCCCCGTTATGTCCCTCACACTATGGGTGTGGGGCCTTGGCCTCCACGCCCCCCCATGGGGCAGGCGTTCGCCATGTGGCCGGGCTGGCCGCAGCGAAAACAGGTACCCTTGAAGGTCCTTTCCTGGCAAGAGCCTTGCCCGGAGCCTTTGTTGCCGAGTTCGCCGGCGTTGAGGCCACCCCCGCGGGTGGGACGGTTGTACGTCATGCGAGCGCACTTCGATGCGGCCACGTCGGCCACGGCCAGCTTGTACGAACGGGAGGCCAGCACGCTCTTGGACTGGTAGAGCTGGAAGCGATCGGCCGCCTCGAAGCCCGCCTCGTCCGCCACCAAGAGCACCTAAAATCGCTTGTTAATGAGCGACTCGATTTGAGCAATGTTGGTGCGAGCGCCTTCCGCATCGCCTTGCTGGAGCTTGAACTCAATGTGCCTGAGGTGGGCCTGGATAACAGAGAAAACCTCTGCCTGGTCGCGTACGCCCTTGCGGTTGAACGTGGAGTTTGCGGTTGCGGGGTTGAGGGGGGGAAGCGCAGAGCAAGAGGCATGAGTGAAAATTGGGTTATGACGGCGAGGGGAGGCCTCACCATCAGCGTCGTCGGACTCGTCGCTGTCATCTTCGACGGGAGCGGGGGCCGGGTCCTTCTCGATGCGGGAAGTCTTGGGAGGGCGCGGTGCGACGGCGGGAGCTTCTTCTTTCTTCTTATCATATTTTGCAGAAGTTGTAGCGTCCTCATTTTTTGAAGTCCCCGCCGTAACAGGCGCGTGCTGCTGTAACAGCGCCAGTAGTGCTTGCAGTTGCGCCGGGTTGAACGGGGGGTTGGGGTCGGTCGTGGCTTGCGTGTGGCTCGAGGGTGCTGGCGCGTGCTGCTTGACACGCGCGCCTGAGGGGCTCGAGGTGGTGGTCAAGACAGCCGCGTCAGCGGTTGTCTTTTTCGCCGCGCGAGGGGCGGAAGGCTCCTCGGAAGGCACCGGGGAGCCTCCGCCCAGCAGGACCTCGACGCCAGTGACGAGGTCCTCGCGTGACTCCTCGGCAGCCCGTTTCGGGCGACGGGCGGTTGTCCTGGTCGGAATGTTGGCATTCGGGGCGACGGGAGTGTCTGTCGCCTTGTTGCCCTCGCGATTAGCAGTGTTGTTCGCCGGCGCCATGGCTCCGATGTCGTGTTTAAAAATATCCGCAAGTAGAGTCGTCGGGGCAGTGAAGCGAGGGAGTGACTGCATCTTCGCCAGACTGGACGAGATTGAAAACTCAAACTTCGAAATTGAAAAGAAGAACGTGGGTGAGGCCGAATGGCCTCAACCCCCTCTTTTGTAGCCAAAAGAGGGCGAGTAGCGATGCGACGCTGCCTTTGCTGCGTTGGCAATCGCTACACTTTCACAATACACAATTTATGAAAAGTGTTACACACTTTTAAAATTTTACATTTCCTTTCATACAGTATACAGGATGTGGTGGAAATCAATGCTTTTCCGGGGATGATGATGTGGGATATGTTTGTGCTTCGCTCATTTCCTCCTCCTTGGTAACTCACATACGGTAATCCTACCATGCCCACTGCCGCCTTAATATGTGTGATATACAGTATAATGGAGTATCTTTGTTCAAGCATATGCAGCAACTGCTTGGTCAAAGGCAGCTTCAGATGCTAGTTGGCGCTGTACAAGAATGTGATCCGGTGCCACCGTCCTCAGTTGGCTGCACAGCACAGCGCAACAGCACTCCAGGTTAGACACACTTGAGCCCTCATCACAGGGTAAATTCCCTCGCAGCAGCGGGCGGCAGTGAGCACTCACTTGAGGTAGCGCGTGGCGGGCTTCCCTCGGTGCAGCGAGCAGACGACGAGGTTGGCGAGCGTGTTGGCGTCCTTGGCGTCCTGCCAGCACCAAGCACCAAGCACCAAGGACGGACCAGTGGACACAGCAGCGCCAGCACGGCAGGAGAAGACGGGATTGGCAAGAGCACACATGCGAGTCTCAGCATCCAGAGGCAGCACAACAGAACCCAGCAGCTCACCTTGTTGAGGGCGTCCAGCAGCAGCTCACCTTGTTGAGGGCGTCCAGCAGCAGCTCACCTTGTTGAGGGCGTCCAGCAGCAGCTCACCTTGTTGAGGGCGTCCAGCAGCAGCTCACCTTGTTGAGGGCGTCCAGCAGCAGCTCACCTTGTTGAGGGCGTCCAGCAGCAGCTCACCTTGTTGAGGGCGTCCAGCAGCAGCTCACCTTGTTGAGGGCGTCCAGCAGCAGCTCACCTTGTTGAGGGCGTCCAGCAGCAGCTCACCTTGTTGAGGGCGTCCAGCAGCAGCTCACCTTGTTGAGGGCGTCCAGCAGCAGCTCACCTTGTTGAGGGCGTCCAGCAGCAGCTCACCTTGTTGAGGGCGTCCAGCAGCAGCTCACCTTGTTGAGGGCGTCCAGCAGCAGCTCACCTTGTTGAGGGCGTCCAGCAGCAGCTCACCTTGTTGAGGGCGTCCAGCAGCAGCTCACCTTGTTGAGGGCGTCCAGCAGCAGCTCACCTTGTTGAGGGCGTCCAGCAGCAGCTCACCTTGTTGAGGGCGTCCAGCAGCAGCTCACCTTGTTGAGGGCGTCCAGCAGCAGCGCCTCGGCGTCCTCGAAGTTACCGGAGTGCATCTGGGCGAGCGCACTGCCGTTGAGCAGCGCCACCGTCGGGCTGAACTTGTCCGCCAGCTCCTGAAACACGTACGTCGCCTCCTGCACCTTCGACCCGCCCTGCTTGCATGCACACACGCACACACGCCACACAGCCCACCGCACCACACCATGTGAGCGGCCATAATTGCGGAAGCACAGAGTGTGCATGAGGGTGAGAAAGAGCAGGGGTGGGCGGGTGGGCAGTGGAGTGGAGTGGAGTGGAGTGGAGTGGAGTGGAGTGGAGTGGAGTGGAGTGGAGTGGAGTGGAGAGGAGAGGAGAGGAGTGGAGTGGAGTGGAGAGGAGAGGAGTGGAGTGGAGTGGAGAGGAGAGGAGTGGAGTGGAGAGGAGAGGAGTGGAGTGGAGTGGAGAGGAGAGGAGAGGAGAGGAGAGGAGAGGACGGACCATGGCGAGGCTGACCCAGCCGAGGGCGAGCTGTGTGAGCGTGGCGTCCTCGTCCACCTGCTGCATCGCCCTCACCTGCTTCTCCGCTAGGTCCGCACGGTCCATCAGTAGAAACACCTGCACGCTCAACGCCATGCTGGGGGGCGAAATGGCAGCACCACAGCACATCCCAGCACACCCCAGCTCAGCACACCACAGCCCAGCACAACACAGCGCGGCACGGCATGGTTCAGCACAGAACAGCAGGCACAGCACAGCAGGGCACAGCACCACACAGCACTTGACATTTGTCCTTCCGCCTACACACATGCCACCAGCACCAAAAGCAGCAGCACAACCACCCCACCCCATCCAAGCAGCACCACCCCATCCCACTGCCCCACCCCTGCCCAACCCCCCACTACGCCCCGTCCCCCCACCCACCCCACACCCTCCCACCGCCCCACACCCTCCAACCGCCCCGCCCCATCCACCCAGCCCGCCCCGTCCCGCACGTACAGCTCGAGGTTGCCGGGGAGGGCGTGCGCGACCTTGAGCGCGTCGACGAAGTTCTGCTCGCGCGCGTACACGGTGCCCGCCACGAGCAGCAGCGTCGCGTTCTTGCCGATCACCGGGTCCGACAGATACCCCTCCAGCCCCGCCACCACCGCGTCCTGTCGCCCCGCCCCGCGCACCAAGTCAGACACAGATTCCACCCCAATTTGAACGAACTCAACACTTGCGACGAACGCGGAAAGCGCGACGAATGCGAAGCGCGCAGGGTGGGCGGCGCACCTTGTTGCTTTTGTCGGCGAGGTAGGTTGCGAGCAGCTTGACGGCCTGCAGCGCCGTGGCGGACGACTCCGTGATCTCGTCCATCACCAGCTGCCGCGGGCCACGTGGGAGGGCACGCACGCTCGTCAGAGCACGGACCACGAGGAATGCCGGAAACGAGTGTTACGCGTGAGGGCGGCGGCGCACCTGGTAGCTGCCGAGCGCACCTGGTAGCTGCCGAGCGCGATGTAGGAGCGGTACACGATGGTGTCGCGCTCGATGCTCTCCGCCTCCGACAGCCCTCCCACGCCGCTCTCGTTGATCGCCGCCTGGTACGCGCCCAGCTGAAAGTTGTTCCGCAGAGAGAATAGCGCATCCGGACCGCTCATCTTGGCGACGGGAGCTCGGTGCGCCGAGCGACGAAATCCCTAGCTGATCTTCGATAGTTGGTCACGCAGCAACGCAGATCCGGTTCGGGGAGTAACACAATTCAGGCAGTGTCGTGGAACAAAGGAGGCAAGCGGGATTTCCTACTGGTGTGAGGAAGGGTTGTGTTACGGGTGCAATGGAACTGTTATGAGTTGTAAAAGAGAGTGCGCAGATAAACGAATAACGAGACTGTGATTGAACGAACTGAGAATACAATGAATGCACAGACTAATGTAGGGCTAGCCTAGCTAGGAGGAAACCTCGGAAAGCGAGGTTGGGTGCAGGTTTGGCGATGGAAATGCCGAAGGCGACGCGAGGAGCCTCGGCAGCGTTGAAATCGGCCGAACGTGCGAACTCCAAAAATCGGGTTGTACGCGAAGCAGTCAACCCCGATAAGGAATTCGGGAAAATTCCTTACACCACCCCCCCCCTTAAGAAAGGCGGTCAATATCCGAAACACGCTTGCGCGCCAAGTAATCACCAACAAGTGGCGAGGCGTCGAGCGAGGCGGATGGCACCCACGTGTCGTCCTTGATAAGAAACAAGGAATGAATGAACTATGAATGAATTGGGTACAAGTACTAACCCTAATTGGGTTTTACCCCTTATGGGCTACCCCACTATAGCCTACACAATATGCATGAGCTATAATATTCTGACACACCCCCATAGGCAAAGTGGGGGAGAACAAGGGGTCACAAGACCAGTCAAGCAAAGTAAAGCAAAGCAAGCTCAGGGTGGATCACAAAGTCACCACACATTCCGAGCACAAGTTCAAGGCCACAAGGCCAGTTCACATGCAGGAGTACATATATATATAAAGGCTAGACAAGCAAGAGCAGGTATATATATATGTAACAGCACAAGCAAGGTCAAGAGGTGAGCAAGTGAGGCAAGGTAGGCACAAGGCCCAGCTGAGTACAGAAGCGCTGATGGTCACAAGGCGCAAGCGCCTTGGTGAAGATATCAGCAGTGTTGGCCTTAGAGGCCACGTACGCAAGACGCAGCTGACCACGCTGCTGCAGCTCACGAGCAAGAAAGTAGCGGAGAGCAATGTGCTTCGTTCTGTGCTCCAGTCGCTGCTCCCGACACAAGGCCAGCATGGCCTTGTTGTCTACGTACAGCACTGGAGGAGAACGAGGCAGCTCTCCGAGGTCAGTCAGCAGGTAGGTGAGCCAGCGAAGCTCCTGTGCAGCCATGGCTCCTGCGTAGATCTCAGCCTCACAACTGGAGCCGAGAACAGAAGACGAGCGGGTAGCCCGCCACGAAACAGAGCCGGAACCAAGGCTGAAGGTGTAACCCTGTGACGACCGCTGCGTAGCCTGGTCGTCAGCCCAAGAAGCGTCTGCGTGCCCAGTAAGGACCACTGGACTCTGCCCTCCAAGCACAAGCCCCATGCCCGACGTACTGCACAAGTAGCGCAACACCCTCTTCGCTGCAGCCATGTGCTCCGGTCTGTGTCTCCCAGGAGCAACATAGCGTGCAAGAATGCTAAGAGGGTATGCAAGGTCAGGTCGTGTGCAGGTCATCAGGTACATGAGGCAGCCAACAAGCTCTGGGTACGGGCCACTCGACTCTACGGACTCATCCGAAGGCAGAGCTGAGAGCGAGTGGCGAGTAGGCAGAGGAGTGGCCTGAGGCGAGGAGTACGTGAAGCCGAAGCGCTGAAGGACCTGCTGCACCATGTGTGACTGAGTCGGGGTAATGGTGCGGCGTGCTCTGTCCCGAGTGATCTGCAAGCCAAGGTAGCTGCGCAGTTCACCCAGGTCAGTGCACGTGTGTCTCTTCTGCAGCTCGGACTTCACGTGGGCTAGTCCAGCAGTGTCAGCTGTGGCAAAGACCAAGTCGTCGACGTACACGAGGATGTAGAACGGCGGCAAAGAAGTGTCGGTGCGCAGAAACAGCGACGGGTCGGCAGTAGAGGGAGCAAACCCAAGAGCCGCAAGTGTAGTCCTCAGTGTGTCGTGCCACTCACGCGGTGCCTGGCGGAGACCGTAGAATGGCCGCCGTAGGCTCCACTGGGTGCCAGGAGGAAAAGACCCAGTGAAGCCAGGTGGGCGACGCAGCCAGATCTCCTCGTGCAGGCTGCCCTGCAAGAAAGCAGTGCTAAAGTCAAGAGAGTGTAGCTCGTAGTCACGGTGAGCAGCTACGTGCAGCAGTACCCGAAGAGTGGTCATCTTCGGGGTGGGAGAGAAGGTCTGAAAGTAGTCACCTCCCTGCCGCTGACTGAAGCCACGAGCCACGTAACGCGCCTTGAAGACAGGCGGAGAACCCGGCGGTCGCTTCACCCTGAAAATCCACATGCCACTGACGATGTTCGCCCCAGGAGGGGGAACAGCGTCAACGTAGGTGCCTGTGGACTTCCAGGAAGCCATCTCTGCGTCCATAGCTGCCTGCCACTTAGAGGAGTAGGGACCCTCTATCGCCTCCGCGTAAGAGCGCGGAGTCGGGATGTCAAGTGCATCCGGGTCTCCCTCAGGGGTAAGCAGTACGGACACGAGATGAGGTGAAGCAGCGGCCAAGCACTGGAACTCCTCCTGCCTGTCCTCAAGGACGTCCGTGCCAAGGGCACACTCACCCCCGACGGACGGAGGACAGACAGACTCAGACTCAGCAACAAGACTGGCGACGTAGTCTAGGCGACAGCGAGCAGCAAAGTCGACGAGCTCAGCAACTAGGGCAGACGCAGCAGTGGACTCAGTGACAACAGTAGCAAGGAGACGCGTGACAGTAGGACTGGCAGCACGAAGAGAGTCCGACTCCGGGTCGGCAAGAGCAGGAAGAGAAGACTCAGGAGGAGAAGGCAAAGGGGCACGCAGAGGAGCAGTGGACGGACGCAGAGACATCCGGTGCGTGCCAGGGACAGGAGGAGGACGCTGACGCGAACCGCGACCACTAGTGCGAGCAGCACGGACAGGCGACGCAGGGCGAGACGCAGGCTCACGACGCTCAGCAAGACCTCCAGTAGGACCAGTGTAGGGAGACGGAGCAGGCAGTGGGGAGGCCGGCTGTAACTGTAACTGCGACGGGACAGGCTGTGGACACTCTAAGGGAGGAGGACCAGTAGAAGGCGGGAGACCAAGAACCTGCTGAAGGAGCGGAACGAAGTAAGGCCGAGGCCGCGAGGCGACTCCAGACACAGGAGGGACAGCACCAGCACCCCCAGTGGCAGCACCAGCACCAGTAGCAGCTCCAGCTCCAGAACCCCCAGCAGCACCAGTAGTACCCCCAGCAGGACCGCCTCCAGGACCGACAGCAGTTGCCTCCGCGCCAACACCCGCAGCAACTCCAGCTCCAGAAGCACCCGCAGGTCCAGCAGCTCCAGTACTCCCAGTACGAGCACCTCCGGGACCCGTGGCACCAGCTCTCTCAGCAGCAACAGAACCTCCAGTACCCGCAGCACCTCCAGCTCCAGCAGCTCGCCTCCAGCGCCGGGCAAACCACTCACGCAGCTCCTGGGGAGAGAGTGGCTCCCGGCGAGGAGGAGCACCCGGAGAACCGCCAGGCACAGCACCACCAGGCGTAGCACCCCCAGGCTCAGCACCTCCAGGCGTAGTACCCCCAGGCTCAGCACCCCCAGACGCAGCACCCCCAGGCTCAGCACCTCCAGGCGTAGCACCCCCAGGCTCAGCACCCCCAGACGCAGCACCCCCAGGCCTAGCACCCCCAGTCGTAGTACCCACACGCTCAGCACCCCCAGAGTCAGCACCCCCAGGCTCAGCACCCTCAGCAGCACCAGAGTCACCAGCGACCTCGACAGGCTCAACAGCGTCTACCTGGGACACACCTGAAGGGGCAGGACCCTGAGGGGGGAGGGGGTCTACCGGGGGGGGACCTGGTACAAGGAAGAGCGGTGGCGGGGGGAGGGACGGAGTGCGGTAGGGGAAGAGGCGGTAGTAGGGGACCGACTCGTCGAACGTGACGTCCTGGGAGGACAGAACACGGCGAGAGGTGGGGTGGTAGAACTGCCACCCTGGGGCGTCAGGGGGGAAACCCAGGAAGACGCAAGGAGCAGCACGAGGGGACAGCTTGTCCGCAGACAAGTCGCGGACAAATGCCCGAGATCCCCAGACACGGAACGCAGACGCATCGCCAACCTTCCCCGTCCACAGCAAGGCTGGGGAGGTCTCCGGCATGGAGACCCTGGGCTGAAGGTTGATCTGATGCGCCGCGTACCGAACCGCAAACGGCCACAGAAAATGGGGGGCAGCCGCATGCATCATGGACGTACGGGCGACGTCCATGACCATGCCAATGCGGCGCTCAGCAATCCCATTTTGCTGTGGAGAGTCCGGAAGCGTGAAGGTCTGGCGGATGCCTCGTGCACGACAGTAGGCTCGCAGAAGGCCAGAGGAGAACTCTCCGCCTCTGTCAGAGTGCAGACGCAGAACAGGAAAGTCCGAGCCGAAGCTCCGCCTGAGCTGGAGACGAGCTGCGCGGATCCAGTCGATCAACACCTCAGTGACATCACCCTTGCTGCGCAAGGGGAAGACTGTGGTGTAACGCGAGTAGTCGTCAACCACCAGCAGGAAGTAGCGCTCGTGACCCTGTCCACGGACGCGGGCCGGGCCCCACACGTCCATGTGAAGCGTCTGCAGCGGGGCCTCTGTCGGAGGAAACTGGGAGGAGTGAGGGGTAGCCCGCTGTCGTCCCTCGACACAGGGGACGCAGGTAGGGCCAGGCCCCGGAGGAAGTGGAGGGAGGGACCGGGGAAGACCAGAAACAAGGACACGGGAGGCCATGCTCCGGAGACGAAGCAGGGAGGGGTGACCAAGGCGGTGGTGCCAGAGGAGAGTCTCGTGAGACAGGAGGCGACACGAGCAGGGGGCAGACTCAGGACCAGACCTGGACGCTGCAGCAAACACCTGACCCGACGCAGCTACCTGACCAGACGCAGGGACTGAGGGAGACGCAGTGGTCAGTGTGTACAGGCTCGACCCCGGCCGACGTGTAAACGTGG